AAATACCACGCTCTTGAATAAAGATAGGGAATAACCCCCATAGCAGATCGGGTAGTGACACTATCATCTATAGCAGCGGTTTTCAAAGTGTGAGGCGCGCCTCCCGTGGGGGCGCCAGAGAGCTTCAGGGGAGGCGCAGCGTGAGACACAAAAGAACGAGAAAAAGACGAGTAAAGTGACACTTGCCCACTTGTGGCTGTCTGTGGAGACCGAGTTCCCCTACCTCGCCAAAAAGGCTGTAAAAGTGCTTATTCCCTTCACCTCCACCTACCTGTGTGAGTGCAGGTTTTCCGCATTGACTTTGATCAAAAGCAAGTGTCGGTCGGCTGCAGCCAGAGGATGATCTGCGTTTATTCCTCTGTGCATCAAACATGCAGACTCATTGTACCCACTAAAGTAGGGCTGAGTGTAATAAGGAGGCAAAGTTGACGTTCAGTGTGTCGCCGGGAGCATATAAGGATTTATCCACCATGTCGGAAACATAAAAAATGTTAAATAAAATATGTCTTGAGAACACGGCGTGCGGAAATATACGGGTCGTGCTGCAGCTAGATGTGCCTGTCCTCTGTAAGAAGGTGTCGGCGACTGACATGCAAGGAAGAACGGCTGCGCAAAGGCTGTTCCAACTTTAACAACTGTATTAACTTCCAGGGTAGTGAATTGAACATGCAATTGTAATTGGGTGTGTGGTATATTTTCATGCACGGACACGCATGTTCCACAACACACAAACTGAACAACACTCAATTTTCCGATCGCTACCAGCGTCCTTGCGATCTTGTTATAATAACAAGTGCACGTTACTGATGCAATATGGTTGAGACCATTCAGGCTTATTCTAGAGGGGTGCAAGGAATAGTCCAAGTAGTGGGGGAGTTTTATACAATATGTTTAAAACATAAAAATAAAAAGGTTTAAAAAAGTTATTGTTTAATGTTTTAAGGCGGTGACGCTACTCAGCCAATCAAATCGGTGCAGTCAGCACGATAGATTCAAACACACACAGAGACACGACAAGAGGAGAGAAACAGTCGGAGTAATTTCAAATGGCGGAAGGTAGACAGCGAAAACAGAGCATTTAATTACATTTTCTCTTACTGGACCTCTTTGAAATGCAATTGAATACCCCTGCATTATAGCAACAACAACAATAATAATAATAATAATAATAATAACAGCAATAATAATTGGGAGGGGGGGCGCGGCTGTTCTTATGTTCTCTGAGGGGAGGCTCACCTACCCACACTTTGAAAACCCCTGCACTAAAGGTTGCTAAAAGAACCCTGTAATAAGATAAGATAGTACTTTATTGATCCCAATTTGGGACATTTTTGATTTTGATTTGTAATAACTGTAAATGTTTCCTCAGACTCAAATTTGAATGTTGTAACTGAGTTCGGGGAGCTCTCCAGCTTCAGAGCTGTTTCCCCTGCTTTGTCCAACTGCAGAGGCTCCCAGTGTTCCCAGGTAAATGATTAAAAGCCTCTAACTACCCTTTAATGATCTTAATTATTCACAAGTAGTCCATCAGCAAGTGCACATTTCTGAAGCAGTTGTTCATATGCTCCAGTTCTAAGCGTGTTTGGTAATTCCAGGAGATCCTGCAGAGGTCAGTGAGTGTGGAGGACCAGCGTCAGGGGGCTCTGTCCAGCAGGACTCCATCTAAAACCACGCTCAACGAGCTGCTGGACACCCTGAAGCTGCTAGAGTCGGAGCCGCAGAGGCTGTCGGAGCCAAAGTGCTACACTAAAGAGAAATACGCCTGGATAGATGAGGTGAGAATTCGTCAATACATCATTTTCATAACTGAAGTATTCAAAGTGCTAACCTTCAGCCAGAGTGTAATGAAAAGGGTGTGAACTCATCACTAAAAACTAAAAGACAATTAAATACGAAATAATTGAGTAAATTCTACAACTCAAATAGAATGAAATAATGATTACTGAAACAGCGATTGTTAGATAAATTGCCAGTGATGTCCCAAATGTAACATGCGTCTCCACTGTGTCTGATCAAAGGATGTGGACTCCAACTCTCTGACCACTGATAACCTGGAGCGGCACGGTCAGCTTAGCCTCCACCCTGCACTGCCTGATGGGGCCGCCCTGCTCTCTGAGGCCAAGCTGCAGAGCATCATGAGCTTCCTGGATGAGATGGAGAAGTCTGAACAGGAAAGACCTCGCTCTGTCACTTCAGGGTCACACAGAGAGGTCGGCATCTGGCACTTGTCTGATAATGTTCATCCTGTTGTTGATGGATTTCCTGAATAATGAAAAATGCCAAAAGGTTTAAAAAGTCTGGACTTCCTGTTGAATGCAGCCTGTGTTTTCTCAGGCTGTGCTGTCTGAGGAGGAGCTGGTTGGAGTGGAGCAGGCGTCTGCCACTGCTGCTGAGGTCACTGGCTCCATGATGCGAATCAAGCTTCAGCTGGAGGAGAAGAAGCGCACCGTCAACATGCTGCAGACCGCTCTGGTAGGGGAAATGAACACGCATAATACAGCAGTTTAAAGGGGACATCCATTTTTTTGTATTCATACATGTTATTACTATGGTCCTAGACAGTCCAAACTCAGTACCAGAGTGTAGTAGAGCACAATGTGCAGTGAATGTGTGAAAGTCACTTTTATTAAGACATTTAACTTTAATTTGTTCTATATTGTAAAATAGGATCAAGCCTTCATTTTCCAATATATATTTGTAATACATTTAAACTAAACCATTTGGTTGTTCATATAGTAATAGCACACTCTGTTCCTTCAAACAACATATGCTCTCAATTTTAATGTGGAGCACCCAGGGTGCTGAAACTCAAATGTGTGACCCCATCAAGTATAAAGTCTGGAACTGCTTTATAGACAATGAATTGCGAAAGATGATTTAGATGAGATCACCAAATGGGAGCTCTGAGTATATGGCTACATGTTCTGTTGCACTATTGGGAAGACTACAATAGAATACAGTTCCTTTGTAAATGAAAAAGAAAACAGTCAGTTTGCTGTGGGTCTACATCAGGGGTGTCAAACTCAAGGCCCGGGGGCCAAATCCGGCCCGTGACTTCATTTTACGTGGCCCACAACAACGTTGCCCATAAACTACACTTTTTTTTCAAAATGTCACTTTTTTTCTTTTTGTTTTGACTTTTTATCATCAGAATTTGGCTTTTCTTTTTAAAACATTTTGTGACATTCTCACTGAAGAGACTTGCAATTATTTGCCGAAGACTTCTGCTTTCAGAAGTAGTTAATTATGAAGTTATTACCCTATCCGATAACAATCCAATGCAGAGGCAATAACATTATTTTATATATATTCAATATTTATATAGTCTTAAAGTTACAACAGGCCCTTTGAGTGCAACCATAATGCTAATATGGCCCGTGATGAAATTGAGTTTGACACCCCTGGTCTACATAATCCAAGTGTGGCCAGCTACATTGTTGCCAAGTTGTTGTTAAAGTGTTGCTCTTGTTGATGTTGTGTTGTGAAATGGCACTGGGAACTGGCTAAAACCTGTATTATTTTTTTTAGACAAAACCAACATTGTGATCTGAAAACATCTGATTAGTTGATGTTTCTGCAGCTCAGCCTTGATTTGTCCGTGCCACACCCCCTTTAGTGTTTGTAGCTTAATATAACCGGCTTTCACTTACAGTGACCTGTAGCCGCCTGTTGCCGTGTCGTTCTGTGAACATAGCATTACCTCTCTGGTTTCTGGCTTTGAGGGACAAGCTAATGTTCAAAATATTGATTTCCCTAGGCCATGGAAATCGCATTTCGGAATTTGTTAATTGAGGTGGTGTTTCCCTTTTATAGAGAGACATGTTCAGTCTTGTTAGCTGCTGTCGATAAAAAATACTTAGACCTCAGGGGTGTTAATCTCCTTCACCTCCTCTCCTCACCTTCAGGCCCAGCAGAGGGAGCTCACAGTGAGACACGTGAAGGAGACGGAGAAGGAGCTGAACAGAAACTTCCAGCTCCAGAAGGAACAATATGAAGCCACCATCGAGAGACACCTGACATTCATTGATCAGGTAGGAGTGCACACACAATCTGATTTTTTTTTTGGTATGACTTGTGGTCTAAAATGTGTTTTTTTTTCTTTCAGCTGATCAATGACAAAAAGTCTTTGAGTGAGCGCTGTGAAGGAGTGTTGGGGGAACTGAAGCAGGTGGACCAAAAGTATACCAAGAAGATTGCACAAATGCAGGAGCAACATGAGATGGTGAGAATAGGTTTCAACAATGATAATCTAATAATGAAATGAATGGCATGTGCAGGGCAAGCTTTCACTGCAAATACCTTCTGCTTCTCTGCTTTGCATCTTGTGCGATCATGTTGCTTTCTTGCCGTGCTGCTTTTGTTTAACCGTCTTTTCTCTGTTTTTCCCTCCTTTTTTGCGTTCTTTCTCTGTCCTTGTCTATACATCTTTTTTTCCTGGACTTTAGGTGTGGCAAATTCTGGGTCCCTTGTGTGAGGTAACTTTTTTTCCTCTCACAGTCATCCTTGGCACGATCATCTCTCTCACTCTGTCATTCCTTTTCCCTTTCATTTGTCTGTCCCTCACAACTTCTGCCGGACAGTCTGTCTGCGTGTGAGTCATTCTTTTTTCAGTAATGTTTAGATTTAGATAAAAGCTGTTGTTCTTGCTGTCGTCTTCCTCTTATAACCACTGTGGTGTTTTTGGAATTGGTCTTGAATGTGTCACTGTTTGTCTCTGTGTAAAACCCCTTCCTTCTTTAAATAACACAAACACCCTGCTGCTAGTCTATTTGTGCCACTTCCCTTTGACACAGAACCACAACCTTAAATCCCCCCCCTCCCTCCACAGGAAATCAAGAAGTTGAAAGAGCTAATGAGCGCCACAGAGAAGATCCGCCGGGAGAAATGGATTGACGAGAAAACCAAGAAGATCAAAGAGATCACTGTTAAAGGTACCGCACAGCCTCGGCTCAGGGCGGAAATCTCAGATTAAACCATCAGGGTACACGAACAGTGAGGAAACACGGGTAAACTAATGCTCTGTAATTCTACTCAATTTAGGGGATAACACCTATTTTCTTCACAATCCTCTACTGTGCAGGTGCCATGCATCCTTTAGCAGGAATGTGACATGACCTCAAGATTCCTTTCAGGGCTCACATTGGCTCTAAGTCTCTTACCTTCCAGCAGCTGGTAGCTTAGCATGCCATCAAACTCAAACATACATGCTACATTGCGTCTGTCCCATGTAACAGGTTTGTTTATTTGGATGCTGGATTAGAAAATAAACAAAGTATTGTAAATGTATCTATTAAACTGGCTGTTGCATTTTCCAGCTTGTAAAATTGATAGTTCAGATGTTTTCAAGTAGGGGTTGTATGAGATCATCCATAGCCAGTTTATAACCTATGATAAGGCAGTTTGAAACAAACAAACAAACAAACAAACAAACAAGAGAAACGGTGAGCAACAAAGCACTGCAAACATTTTTAAGCCATCTAAAAAAAATCAATATCAGTTGAAGTGTACTATCTAAAATGTTGTTTATTTGGACACATGATTAGTAAATGTATCCATTGTACTTGTTGTCGGTTGTTGCCTTTTCCAACTTGTTGAATGGATAGTTTGGATGTTTTGAAGTGGGGTTTGTACGAGGTCATCCATCAGTCTATCTAGAATAAGAAAGAAAACACTGAGGCCATCCAAAAAGAATCATATCAGTTGAAGTGTATGATTTTGGCAGAATATTTTCACTCTGTCACTTTGTTTAGTTAGTGTTCACCAAAGTCAAACACAAACAAACTAACCAAGGCTGCTTTACACCAGCAACCTTGGCAAGTCAGATTGTTTTTGTGAGCATAGATAAGGGCTTCAATGCCTTTGCAAAAACATACTGTATAGCTATGTCATTGCAGTGAGAAGCTGAAAATAGAGCATGTATTTTAAGGGCAGCATGAATAAAGTGTTCTTCCCCTATTGCATGCCTGTGAAATGCTGAGTTAATGTAAAGTCACAGACAGTTGTCAACCAGTGCTGTTGAAGTGTTTGGGTTCTCAAGCCTTGTGACTGTTCAGAGTTGTTTGCTTACAGTTGTCTCATCTTCCAGAATTATTTTTAACATGAGTCATCCCAATTTTTCCCCAAGCAATTGTTATCCAGTGAGCCGTGAACTTCATGCAGGCCCCACCCAGCCTCTGAACACAAACTATATTCTGTTCCTGCTCCTCCCTCAGGTCTGGAGCCAGAGATCCAGAAGCTGATCTCCAAGCACAAACAGGAGCTGAAGAAGCTGCGGACGCTCCACGAGGCGGAGCTGCTGCAGGCAGACGACCGCGCCGCCCAGCGCTACGTCCGGCAGTGTGAGGAGCTCCGCCAGCAGCTGGAGAGGGACAAGGAGGAGCAGTGTCAGCGAGAGAGGGAACTAGCCAAACAGAGGTAGGCCTGACACATCAACAGTGCAGGCCTTTTTACTGTAACACATGTCATACACTACTATACTGGGTCTTCTTATGTCTCTGTGCTGGCGACAGTTGTAGCTGTTGCACAATGTTTTCATGAATGCAATATCTCAGAAGGTTCTTAATATCATTTTCTAAGATTTGGGCACAAGCTGTTACTTGGAAATGAAGTGGTTCGATTTTGGTTGTCAATAGTCAAAGCGGTAGGTCTCTTTGACCTCATAGAACAAATATTTCGGCCATAAATTGAGAATTCATTACAATTTCACACATCTGGTCTAATAAGATAACATTAGGACATTTTGAACAAACTGGAAATGAAATAAATCCTATTTATTTGACCATTCTTGTTTCTGTGTGTCAGATATGAGAAGCAGCTTCAGGAGGAGGAGCTGTCCCTGCAGCAGCAGAGGAGGCGGCTCTACAAGGAGGTGTCCGATGAGAAAGAGAGGCTGGCTCAGCTGGCTGCAAGGTGAGAAATCTGAAAAAACCCTCAGCCAGAGACTTCCCCACAGTGCTCCAGTAGCTGGTCGTCATGCAGGTCTCCAGAAGAGGCTGAGTCAGTGGGAAATTAAGAACACACTGCAGTTAGGTTCCAGTCTGGTTGGGTAATGCTGGCACACTGTTGACGGGAAACCTTGAAGATGGATTAGACTGGAACTGCTTTCAGCTTGTGTGTTACAGAGTAGAGGAACTGTTCTGTTGTACCCACCATCATGCTCTGGCACAAAGTCTCAGTCCTGCAGGGAACATGTAGCCTTTATATATTCTTTCTAACACAGCTGCTAGGCACCAAGTGACCTTTAAAACATAGAGGACTAATGTAAGCTCTATTAAGTGCCATTAAAAGGAAAAATATTGAACAAAAAGAAAAACAGCATCAAGAAGTGATAACTAAAGTTAAACACACTTAGATACTTCATTTTTTAACATCCCGCATTTATTGATTTAATTTAGTGACCTTAATCTGGGAATGTTTCCCGTCACAGCAGCATGTAAACGAGGCACTGCACATGAAATACAAATGAGATCGTAGTGAAAATAAACAAACATAAAAAGTAAATATATAAAAAATCTAATGGACAGTGAAAGACATATATCTATTGAGTATCTCAAACGAATAAACAATGTCAATATACAGAACTGGCCTCAGTGTACATGATAGGCCAATCTACAATTAACCAAATGTAAACAACTGGCACCCAAAAGTGCTTACGTCAGAGATGAACCTGAGCAATAACAGTTCACTGAGAGTACAGTGAAGAGAACTCTTTACAAGCAGTAGCGCTGAGCAAAGGGACTAGAATGTGTCCACACACCTGTAAAAACCACACATATGAAGTCAGGCAACACTAACCAGGTATAGTGCGATGCTGTTTATTTTTACCTTACTTTTATTGACCATCCGTTCGCTATTATTTCAGCAGCATACGTTTTCCTGTTGTTTTGTATTATAGCAGCTATCGGATTTAACCAATACATGGGCTACACCGTTTGCCATGTCAGACTATCACAAGTACAATAATAATGAAAAATATGCCGGTAAGATATTCCTGTAGAAAACAACTTATGCCACAATATGATGGCAACAAGTAGTCAAGAGACAGTCAGATGCTATGCTAACATCACCCATCTAATAACAGAGAGACTTTAATAACGGCGTTATGATGCCAAATAGTGTCAATTCAGCCTGAAAACACCTTATGGGGATGGGGGATATGCATCAGTGGACGTTGCTTGTGTGACAGTCAAACAGTGAAGACATTCCAGTCTTTTTTAGCAGCCTCTGCCGTCAGTTAACGCTAGATTAATGCCAAAACGATTGTTTAGGTTCTACTTCTCAATGCTCTTCTTTCTGTTTGTGTGGCAGGCATCGCAGTGAGCTGGAGGATCTGCGGAGACAGCTGGAGGAGAACAACTCTCTTGCTGGACGAGCCCTCAGAGAAGAGCTGGACAAGACCAGAGAGGGACAGGAGAGGAGACACCAGGTGATGAGCGACATGGGGCGCAATAACAGTATAATTAACCATAGACTTTAACAGAACCCATAAATAAAGTCTGTCTAGTTAGTATCTCCACATCTGCTAACATCCATCTGCTAACAAGGTAAAGCAGCAAGATAATTGAGTGTTCTTTGTGTTCCTAGTTGGAGATGAAGGCATTACACGAACGCATTGACATCGAAAAGCAGACCTGGGAAGAAAGCTACAAGAAAAAAGAGGTTTTTTGACATTCTGTTCTGTCTAAACTCGACCTTCTTTTGTTCACACTGAGGTGTGACAAAGCACGGAATGTCCTGCATTGTGCTCATAGGCCCATCCATCACCAATGCAGGCACATATTTCTGGTTCAGTGGTTTTTAACGTCATTACTAATGTAAAAAGAGGAGGAGACGAGGACTCCTGCCAAAAATCTATTTTCCATAGTGACTGAGGGAGGTGGCACGTGTCCAGCTCTGTGGAGTGCAGGAGAGTGAGAGCAACCTGTGCTTTTCAACTGTGTACTTAAAGAATAGTAATAATAACTTTATCAATACAGCACCTTTTGAAAAAGAGTTTACAAAGTGATCTGACATGAAAGCAAAGAAGCAGCAGGATTCAAGACAATATAAAAATAGAAAGCCAAAAAAGTCATATTAAAATAAGGTTTAATTGGAACACAAAAACACTGTAGCGAGAAGGCAAATTATGATAAAAGTAGGGCTGTCAAACATTTAAAATGTATTAATCATGATTAATCACCATTCGACCTATGTCCAAAATATGCCATTTCTTTATGTATATTGTTGTGGGAATGGAAAGATAAATGAAAGAAGGCGGATATATCCATTTCTCATACAGTATCTATGTTTATTGTAACATTGTTATGTGTGTCAAAATGAAAGACAGCCCACACACCTATCAATCATCAAACCGTGGGGTCTTATTTGAGAAGACAATCACTACGTGACAAAAGTTTTCAAAACCGTTTCTGGTCTTCGGTATTTCCAGACAAGTGGCTACTGAAATCAATCTTACTAACTGTTGTCTGTGCAATTCTCGGCGCGAGTTGGCGGATTTTATTTTGCTTACTTTAACATCATTTTTGATGGTGGGGCTAAGCCATTTCTTGGTATGGCTGTAGCCTACCCCAGCCATACCCTGGCGCCGCCACTGGCGGGCCATTCTGCGCATGCGTTAACTGCGTTAAATATTTTAACGCAATTAATTCAAAAAATTAATTACCACCGTTAACGCGATAATTTTGACAGCATTAAATAAAAGATACAAAAAGTATTAAAAATAACATAAAAAAATATGAAAGTAATGTCGATATGTTCACAGAAGTAAACGGAGAAAGAAAATCTATACAACACACTTCAGGAAGGGAAAACCCAGAAATGCATGATAATAATAATAATATGAATTCATTACATTTATTTTGGTGCTTTTCCAAATGCTCAAAGCGCTTTACATTACATATTACATATATATGAGTGTTACTGATTCTGCCAGCCTTATCGCCTGAGGCAGGTTGTCTCAAGGCCGAGGGACCCCCATGGCAGAAGAAAGGTCACCCTTAGATATCAGCCTCAACTTTGGACCGTCCAGAAGGTTTCAAGGCTGCGATTCTTATTGAGTTAACATTTCCACCATGTAGCTCCGGGCCCCAACCAGACGGCTCTAAAAGTAATAAAATCGTATTTAAAAATCTAAAACGAACAGGGAATGATTGGTGAGAAACCAAAGAGAATCCTAGCTGCTGCAGTCTGTGATGTGGATGAAACCCTCTGGGTGTAAATCACATACAATGAGGAAGAAAACATTTAATGAGTCAGTGGCCGTTAATAAAATAAATACATGAGTGAGTTGTTAATAGGTGAAGAATTAACCAATGAGGACAAACTTCCACATTTATCTAAACCTGGGTGTGTTATTACCTTTTTATGTGGGTGTGTGGTCATAAGGCAGCCAAGACAGTGTGTGTGTGTTCACAGGAAGCGTGGCTGCTGAGCCGCGAGCGTGAGCTCAAAGAAGGTCTGAGGCGGGAGCGCGACAAAGAGATCGAGCTCGCCATCTGGACTCTGGAGGAGGAGACCAGCAAGGACAAAGAGGAGTGTGAGAGGGCAGCTGACAACAGGTAAGGTGTGTGTGTGTGTGTGTGTGTGTGTGTGTGTGTGTGTGTGTGTGTGTGTGTGTGTGTGTGTGTGTGTGTGTGTGTGAGATCTTTTGACCTTAATCTGACTCAGACCTGTCCTACATATAAAGACGATGTTGATTTGACCCTTGAGGACTTATAGGTTTTACAATTTTACTTTTGCAAATCCTAGTTTGTTTTAGGGTATACATAATAAAATGATCTACAGTTTACACTCAAAAACAAGTTATCATCTTTTAACCCATTCCTTAAGTTATTGCTTCTCTTAATGACAATAAATAAGGTTCTCTCTGTTCTATTTCTTCTGGAGCTTTTCAATGAAGTAGGATACGTTTTGTAGTTATTTAGAGAAATAGTCTTTTATAGATATTTCCAAGAAGTCACTTAAAGCTTTTCCTCTGTTCTCAGGGTGAAGCGCGTGAGGGAAAAGTATGAGACTGAGCTGAGGGAGCTGGAGCGCTCTGAGAGGGCGGCCGTGGAGAAACAGCAAGAGTTGAGGAAGCATCAGATGGAAGCGGAGGGAGAGCTGATCAGACTGCAGGGCGCGCTCAGACAGAAGGGTCAGGAGACCCAAGACGTCACTCAGGTAAGGAGCAAATCCCTCTTCTTAGTCGTTTATAAAACCCTCTAGTTCCATGTTATTACCTTTTTAATGTTAGCAGCTTGTGGTATGAGTGAGAAAGATTCCATATGAAATGACTCGTGAACGTGTTTGTTCAGACCCGAGATAAGCTGGTGGAGGAGCGCCGCAGCCTGGCCGAGGTGATCAGGCAGGAGTTTGCAGAGCGGCTGGTGGTGACGGAGGAGGAGAACCGCAGGATGAAGGTGGAGGTGTCAGAGGTGCGAGCTCGGCTACGGCTAGAGGTGGAGAGAGTCACCAGGGAGAAGGAGGAGGAGCTGGCAGAAGTCCACCAACGGTAAGGTGGAGGGGAAGAGTACCTAATAACATTTGGCTTGAATAAATCGTTTTATTCAGTTTTGAATAACATCTTTTAAGATTGAAACCACTGCTTTATAAGAGCCTGCTAGGTCAAATGACATGTACAAATCTATTCAAATGTCTAATCCTGGTAATGTGTCACCATGTGACAGAATGAGGCTCATAGATGTGTTTTTAAAAATGTTTGGGTCAAAACGGCACAGAGAAGGGGATTTATAAAAACAAAACAAAAAAGGTGATGAACACTTACAAACAACGTGCAACATTTGGTATACAGCCTTTGCCATTTATAAATGCAAAATAAATGAGCTAAAGTGGTCCTTTTGTTCTTAGCAGTATATTGGTCATAACTCTTTAATGACATTTTAAATATTGGTAGACATTTTCTGTTTTGAAATAAGCCACCATAGCATTAGGAGTTGACCCAAAAACGTCAACCTCAATAACCTTAATGTTATTTAACATATTTGGTTCACAAGCTGGGGGGAAAGTATTATCATATTTATTGCGAACCTAAATCTATCTTTAAGTTTCCCTTGTTAACGTCCTCTTTTCTGCCACTTGCCAGAGTGAAGTCGGCCATCTTGAAGAAGGAAGAAACTGTCAATAATCTCCGAAAGCAGCACGAGGTGAGTCAACCAACGACACACAGGCGCCTCTTTCTGTCAGAGCATGATACATAAGAGAAGACGGTTGTGCAGAGATGACTGACAGCATGTTTAAATATATGGCTCTCTCCTCTGAAAGGCTGCCCTGAAAAGAGCGGATCACCTGGAGGCCCTGTGGGAGCAGCAGAGGAAGCAGCTGCTGGAGAAGTGACTGACAGGAGGGCTTCATCTGTCTGGACCTCCCCCCCCCTCTGCTCTAAGCTCTATTCTTTGTGTCGCACGAGCCCTCACCTGATTTTTTTGTATTCACTTGGATGTTGTTCCTTCCAGCTAGACTGAACCTGTGGAACTACAGGAGGTGGAACAAGTGGCTGAACCCTGTCCTACCTCGTACAGAATAGGGACATGAACTGGGCCTCAATGTTTAGCCCCGCCTCTCCAGGCATGAAGGGATGTGTTGTGTTGGAGCGTCCCTAATTTAAATGCCACAAACCAGGTGACACCTGATGAATAGAAATGAATAGACTATGGTTGGACTTCGCTTTCCTCTTCTTCCCTTTTTCAAAAGGAGGATTGCTGCAGCTTTTTGTGACTGTACTTCCCCCCCTTTCCCCCTCCCTCTTGAGCAGGAATGCTTCAATGTTCCCCACAGGGCTGCCACATAGAACAGTTCCAGATGTTTGTGAAACCAGCCCGGGCCTGTGCTGGTGTAAAGTGGGAGATGGACCACTTCAAACAAACCATTGGGCATCAGAGCGGCTATAAGAGCTCCTGTTTGTACTCATGCTGCCCCCTTTTATCTGCTTGAGTCATGCGTTTTGTCCCAGTGCCCCCTCAAGGCGAGTGCTAATTACAGGATCTATAACATGGCCTCGCTCTGAACAGTTTGTTATGTGTGTCTCAAACCAAAGGTAAGATCCAACCAAGACGTACGAAGTGATTTATCAACACTGGTTACACACTAAAGTGTGAGTAGAATGTTGCGAGAGGGACGAGTATGTAACTAAAAGGAAATAAAAAGGACACGGCATGATTGAGGCGGAAGACGGATGATTTTTAGAGAAAGTTTCTGAATGTGGGGGAGAAGGAAGAGGAGAGAGGATCGGGGGTGCAGGGAAGAAGGAATGCACAGAGAAGATGTTTATAGGATTAGGAGAGCAGAGGGTGGTAGGAGAGTTTAAGGGGGCACAAGGCATGTGACCAGAGGCATGTTAAAAGCCATATAGCTTTCGCCCGCTCCGATCCAGAGGCTGCACTGTGACAAAACGCATCAAACTCAACCGGCAAGAGGGGGGCCTCGAGTCACACACACATGTAAACGATCTGCGTTTTGGATACTCTGTTTCCTAATCCTCTCAGGAGACACCTCCCCTCAGCACTTCAAATCTGCATTTTATTAATTTAGTTTTTTTCCAATTCCTTAACCCTTACAATGATTAGGGTTGAAGCCAGGCACAAAAAGTCTTTGTGGATACAATTTCAGCGAGAACGGTCCAAAGCATGAGGTAGCGAGGGGTGTGGGGCTGAAACAAGAGTTTGTTCTGCAGAGAGAAACTCTACAGCTGGAAGTAAAGCCTGTTATTTAGGTGCAACATGATGTGATTGTTCAGGCCCAAAATTAGACCCTCACATCAGAAAATATTTATTCTGTTCCTTTTTTCTTTATTTATTTTCCAATGTAGCACTGTTAATGACCTCTTGTAGTGTTATCGGTCCTCAGAAAGGTCAAGGATTTGAAGTATTTTTTTTTTCAAAGCTAGTCGACACAATTAGTGTTTTTACAGTTACTTAGCAGAACTGCTAACTGCCGTGCTAAAACGTTATAACTATGCCATTAGTAGATGGTTTAAATACAGTATGTCCGGTTTTTCTGACATGGAAGTCGTCCGAGCCACAATGTAAAGGGTTCATATGAAGTGTAATGTAGTGGAAGGGTAGCAGTAACGTAGTGCAGCTTTATGGGTAATGTAGTTTCTGACCTGAGGCGTCATATCAGATTGTCACAAGAGCCAAATACCACTTTCAACCCTCCTAAATGTAGGAGAATGTAAAATAAATATACGTTTTTATATAAATATATCTTTTCGTGGTTATGTGTCACTGTGAGTTTCAGGATCACTTACTGAGATTCTCTGAGTCATGAGGAATTGTTTGTTGGCATTGCTCACGCTCTACCGTCCTACAAGTGGTTATATGCCTTGCCTTGTGTGTGTTTGTGTGCCACCACTCCTTCCATCTTGACCAGAGATGTACCTTTTTTTTGTTTTTATTTATTTTATTTGTAACTTTGTATACAAACCATTCCAGCTGTCATCGGTTATAGCTTGTTGAATTTCTACATGTACCAGTATCTCTTGACCTCACTGTTTTCCTATCTTGTTTTAGTTTAGTTTTTATTGTTAATCATGGCGATGGTTCGAAAAACTGTGAAGAAGATGGTGACTGAAGAGAGAATAAAAAGCAAAGACTGCTGGGAAGACGCGCTGTGTTTCTCATTTGTGTTCGCTATGTGAGAACAGACAATTGTTTGCTTGTTTCTGACACCCGCCCTCCCATCATCCCTTGCTCTCTCAGACCATAACTCACGGGTTGGGAAAGAAGAAGAAGTGTCTTTAATCACAACTATCCGCCAACACCCTGCGGAATCCAAACTAAGAGCCAAAATAGCTGTTGTTTTGGAGCCTCAAATGATTTATTCACTGTATTTAAATTAATTCCTGAAATATCTGTCAACCAAATCTTATAAATTAGTTTAAGGCATGTCCTAGATGCCTTTTTCTTGCCATGTTAAAACCACCTCAGGGATGTTTCAGCCTATACATCTGGAATAATGTCCAGCACTGACCCACTTCTCCCCTCCTTCTTCCCCTTCTTTTTTTTCTCACCCTCCAGCTAGCTCACTTCCTCCAAAACTGCCAAAGCAACCGGTGGTGCGTACTGAAACGTGTCTCTCCTTTCAGAGTATTTCCTTTCTTTTCACTCAGGAACCCACACCATTGACTCTCACTTGGCTCCGAGGGCCCCGGCTGACTGCTGGCTGGAGTGAATGTAACTGTGGATGTGCAGAGAGTCTCTTTAAAAAGCTGTCAGCTGTGTGGCGGAAATTCAGCCTGCATGTTCCTGCTTGTCACCTGACAGTTCCTCTGAGGTGTGTGTGTGTGTGTGTGTGTGTGTGTCTGAGACTGCCGAAGGCACACGAGGGGGATAGGGTGTGTGTGTGGTGTGTGGTGTGTGTGTGTGTGTGTGTGTGTGTGTGTTTGTGTGTGTGTGTGTGTGTGTGTGTGTGTGTGTGTGTGTGTGTGTGTGTGTGTGTGTGTGTGTGTGTGTGTGATCCAGGGTCTCCCGCATAGCAGAGATCCTTAGAGCAGTCTGCTCATGTCTGATTTTATTGCAGCCTAGAGTGGGTTTCTCTTTCTCCAGCCCTCCCCTCTCATGCTGTGGAGTTGAGGGGGTTGACCAATTGCCAGCAGCTGTTGCTCATTTCACAATGGTCCCGCCCATACAGTGCTGAGGCTGGTAGTGAGACGCTCCTCACCAGAGGAGAGGCAGAGCTCCTAACTTAGAGGAATACATGACCATGCGAGAAACACTGAGACTAAAGACAAACGAGGATTTCTACTGGTGAGAGAATGTCTTACTTTATCTGTCTGTTTTCTATCTGAATGGCTTTGTTCATGTTAGACGGCAACATGGTGACTCTGACTAAAGGAAGACTCATGATTTGTCACAGTCTGATGCTGTATGCTTCCTTTCCTGTCTTTTATTTAGCTTGGACTCCTTCTCAGCCACTTTAGAGACTTGTACTTGAATTCATCTAGTAGAAATCTGCTAAAACTGTATTTTATGTGTGGAAAATATGAATTCCCCCTGGAGTTTTTTTCCCTTATTGTGTCTGTTATCAGAGATATGGCAGCTGAGTTTATCACTGGATCCCTACAACACATTCTTTCCATTCCCCATGTACCCTCAGCCAGGAGTCCCACAAGCGTGGGAAACTGTACCACTCACATTGTCATCAGCGCTGTTATTATTTCCCTGACCCACTTATCAAGTGATTACTCTGAAGGACTTAAGAAAAGCAGCTCGAGACTTAGTTTAGATATTTCTCACAGAATGGCCCTGGGCTTTGTTTATTACACTTACAAAGAGGTGAGAAGTGGAGAATAAGGTGGTGCTCGGGGGTCTACTCTATGCTAATGTCTTGAATATCTGCTGGGACCTCCAGAGGCATACATTTGGAGGGAGAGCGAAAAAAAAGAAGTTCCCTGTAAGATTGAGCCTCTGGCTTCCTGCATTTGTTGTTTGCCCATCAACTGCAACTTTTGTTCAGCAACATGTTTCCTGTTTAAATGCTCCTTGGGTGTGTTTTTCGACTCCACTTCGAGCGATATAATTATTAACAAAGCACTTATATACTAATAAAGGACTGGCTTATCTAAAGCCAGTTGAGTAACACTTGAAATGTTTTAGCTCTATGAAACCTGATGTACTTATATGATTCTGTTTTCTTCAAGTTTGTATTTTGTTGGTCGAACACACTTATTGTAAGTCGCTTTGGATAAAAGCGACAGCTAAATGCAATGTAATGTTCTTTTCAGTATCTGGTTGAATGGCAAGTATGTTTTCACGTAGGCTATGAAGGGAGTTGAACACGTTGCAATGTCATGTTTCGTGTCTGCTTCCTTGTATTTTGTTTCAATGTATGTCCTTGGTGATCTTACAAGAAACATGTCAGACTTGATCTGACAATAAGTTAGTAAGTTCCTTACATAAACACAGTAATGAAATACAAAAATAAGACATAAGTCAAGAAGTCACACTTCAAGAACTGCAAGAGCAGGAAGGAGATAAATGAAATTAGCATGTCAAAAAATATAAGATAGTGACTCTTCACTATGTGTTCAAAGGTTTCATTAAAAAGGGATTACTTCTGTTGACAATAAAGTCCCCCCTTCCATCCTGACTCCCCCCCCCTCCCCGAGTTGTTGCCCTTCAACTCTCTTTCTGTCTCCCTCACACTGTAGTTTTGCTGAGAAAAGCCCAGAGTGGATCCTATTGTGAGCTAATTAAATCCATCACCCTCCAACTCCTGGAAGATCCAAAGTCCTGAGCACAAGACACCAGGCTTCTCCTCCTCCATCCTCATGTCCCTCCAGGAGAGGAGGGCAGGGCACACACACACAGCCCCCCGGCCGAGGACACACACTACCTGACACGGATGGCATTCCAGAAGAAGCTGCTGCTCGGGTTTGTTACCGCGGGCTCCCTGCTGTGCGTCTACATCCTGTGTTTGAACCTGGAGACGCCTCTGTCAAGCGCCATAGGGCCTCTGAAAACATTCCATCGCTTCACACACAAACATATCAGGTGAGCAAAGTGACCACACTCACAGTGATTTGCAAACGAGCTGAAAGTGGAAGTGACAGGTTTTTATTGTTCTGGCAGTCTGACATATTGTACGAGAAATTAAAATGCTGACTCCCGGCATTACTGGTCACTTCAGGGGGGGATTTTGACAGCCCATCCTGTCATCCTGTCTCAAGCAGCTCGCTGAACCAGTATTGAGTGACCCGACAGTAAACAATAAACATAACTATAACTAATTTAGCTAGTTCCAGAGGTAGATAAGATTGGTAAATGTGACAGATCTAACTTGAAATGTGTGTTTTGCTCCGCTCACCGAGAAGAAATGGGCGTTCTTTTTTGGAGATTATCCAACCAGTTAATTTTCGAGATGACTCAACCAGCTTTAAAAAATGTTCCTTTTTCAAAATGAAAACAATACATATACATTTACACATTTGTTAAAACAAATTTAAACTCTAAAATGTGAATGCGGGTTGTGTAGGTATGGTAGGATCAAAATGTTATTAAAATAATCCCCCCCCACACATACGTATATATTTTGTGTGAAAGTTATTAGTTTATGTTGATCACAATTTCGGCAGGCATAAGGGGGGGGGGGATATTTTATTTATTTGAATTGCATTTTAAGAAAAAAAGAAAATGTTGATAATGAACCTAAATGATTTGTAATTGTAGATCCCCATTTTGATTATAAAAAAGCTAGTTATTATTTATCCTAAATCTAATGGGTAAAGGGATTAGGGCAAGGTATAAGGGGAGGAAATGATAGAACCATCTCACTCCGTTTAGGTTCCATATGTTGTTTCTAAATCAGAGACACATGAGGAGATGTGGCAGTTTAATCAGCGTTCAGCTGAGAAAAGGGACGAGGTTGAAGGGTTAAACCTTTAGATCGTGGTATAAAAGGTTCCATGGTTTTTCTTTAACCAGCACTTATTCCCCCCTCTAGTTGTATCATTGTGGTTTTAACAAAGGAGCCACACAGCACTCGGCTGCACTAATGGAGGTAGTCTCTTACACGCGTATGTGAAATGTATGCGTTGTTATAATGGGCAGCGCTCCAGGTTTAAAAGCCAGCCGGTCCAGATAAAATGCATGAACTCAGGGGAGAGACATGGGAAAGATGGCTGTTTCTAAAAAGTCTGTTACAGAAACTAAATGCTAAGTTTGGGCATGCAGAGCTCGCAGGTCTTTCATTTAGAAAGCTGTTCTTTGTTTTGAATGCCTGGGTAAAAATAAGGTTATGAGTGTCCTCCTCACTTCCCCTGCTCTGGGGCTTTTTTTATATACTACACCTCAATTTTATTTTACTGGACTGTGGGGCCCTTTTGCGTTTAAAGATATAAAATATATATTTTTAAATGAAAATAAATAAATCAAGTAAATAAACTTAAGCTATGTTGTTATTATTCTTTTTCTTAAATATTTAAAGAAAAGTCATTTTCCTTTCACAATTATCTCTCAAAATAATAAAATGTAAAATAAGGAAAAATAAAATCACTATTTTTTTCTTCTTTACGCTGCATCCCTCAAAAATATTTAACTTAGATTTTATACATTGTATACAAATAATAGGAGGAATTAAACTCAAGCAATGTCATTATTATATATTTTTAATAGTGTTTTTTATTTCAATTATCTATCAAAATGATTTTTAAAAAATCATCATTACTTTCTCTTTTACGCTATATTTACAAACGTATTACAGGTGAAATATAAATGACAAACAAGCTGCGTCCTGAATGACATCTTGCCCACTCTTTAGTTAACCTCTGATATTTGTTTAACATTAAGTAATTGTGTTCTAGTTACACTTTAAATGCAGTGTCCGTATCTCATTCCCCGGCTCTATGAGGTATACTTACTGCTCGGCTGTGTTTTTAGCAGATTTTGACAGTGGAGTCTAATTTTCAACCCTATAACTCAAAGTTCACTTACTACCTGGAGTTGGTTATGGCTAGAAAGGATCCGTCTAGTGTAAATATGACGTCACGTTCTCGTTGTAACTCTCGTTGTTATCGGAGCGGCTCGGAAACACATCTACAGCAGTAACATGATGCAACATACACATTAATCCAGCAGCAATATTAATAGAGAAACATCAGATATAATAGTAAAACACTGAAAGGGAACATTTTATTGCACCAGGAGCTATCTTGGGACTTTTACTGCGACAACGTTGACTTGCCTGTGAATAAAAAGGCACACAGGGGATAGGGTTGTGAGGTCTTACTGTTGTCATTCTTCTT